ATTCCACATACTGGCACATACTTTTCTCTGTGTTGTATCCTTTTATGATGTAAATTTCGACATTCATACTCATACTCGTGGCTAGTAAGGTTTCAGTATTTCCAGTTAGCACTTGGTGAACCCTTCTCATTTGAAGACTCCATTAATTTAGGTACTAGATTTTCCTTCATGTTGTCTTTGATTTTGAGGTAGCTCCGGGTCATGTGCCGCCAGACTTATATCTTTAATTGAATTAGTAGAGGCTTATCTCATACCGTAAAAATGTAGTTTCATGGATATCTAAATTCTAGTATTCAATTATGTATTTCAGCTTCCACTTAGTTTCCTTACGATATGCTTTGACATGTATACCAAGAATTAGCCTGGAATTACTCGTGAGTTTAGGTACCGTATTACGGTTGGAATGTATACTCGTATCGTGACAGATTCATGTAGCTCAAAAGCACACATTGTGTACAAACTGATCGCAAAAGACATAGCAACTAATATTTACTAATAATTTCCAAGCATTTTTTCCCATGATCTAAATGTCCAATGGTTTTCCGTAGAATTAAGAGGAAAAAAAAAATTGATGAAAAAATTGAAACTAAATTATAAGTGAATAAATATGTGACTTTCAATTTTGCAGAATTTGGTCAAACTTTATTTACGCTGTCTAATACTTTTCGAGTTTTAATTTACATGACACACTTTCATTTTAATTCGTAACAATGTTTATTTTATTTTTCATTACACATCCTTTAAAAAAATTTATTATTTAACAGGTGTATTTGACTATTCTATCCTTAATTATGTCTTAAGACATCTTATTCTTTGAATATTTAGTCTATTTTCATATCATAATTAAAGTGTTTATAATCTTTAAGAATAATTAAGTTTGAACCTTTTATTTACTCTTAATGAGGTAATTTATTTTTATTTTTGACCATAAATTAAAAAATATGCATTTCATTTTTAAATTTTGTATTAGTCAAACACTTCATAAATTAAAGTATATCACAAATATTTTTTTGGCACAAGAGGACAAGAGAACCATAAATTGCTATAATATCTAAAATCATTTCATTTATTATTTTTTTCCTTTTCATCTCCTATATAAACTGGTATAATATACCTTATTTTCTCCAATAAAACATAACAAAAAATGTCAGGAAATAATTTTGATATCCAAGTTCAATCTCAGGTTCATCATTTCACTCTCTCTAATAGAATTTTTTATTTTTTATTTTTTTATGTTCCTAATTTTTATTTTATGTTTATAGGATGGATCAATTACGATTTTAAGCGTATCACCTGATATGGTTATGAAGAAGGTCTTCATGACATACTGTAGGGAAAAACTAATAGACTGGAAAAGAGTTCGCTTTGTCTTGGATGGAAAACGCATTTCACCAGCAAAGACTATTGATGAAGTAAGACCTTAATTTGCGTATAACTTAATCTAATTTATCGTTAATTTAAAATTATGTATTTTTTAAATTTATTTTTGTGTTTCTGCTTTTTATGAAGGTTGGGTTAAAAGATGGTGATCAGATCGATGCTATGGTGTCTTAAAATGGAGGAGGATTCGCAAACTAATATGAAGAAGAACAACATATCATACATGAATATGTTGCACTTTTTTAATTTATGCTTTTTATTAGAATTTTAATTTCGAAGCTATGTACTTTTGTTTTATTACTAAAAGACAACTTGGATGTCATGTGTCCAAGTTGATCATGCAACATTATAATCTTAAATTTGTATGTGAATTTAAGATGGTTAATAAAGTCGCCTTTTCTCTATTTTGGACATCAAATTTTTGAATAGGGGATGCATGATTTTATTTTTGCTTAATTATAAAAGAAAAATGATCAAATATATTCTTGAACTAGTTAAATAGATCGATTGTATTTTCTGTTACGTGTTTGGCTCAAAATGTTCACCAACTATCAAAATAATTCATTTCATGCATTGAAATGTTCTTTTCTTTTTTAATCTTAGTTAATCAATGGAATGATGTTGCTAATTTTTTACTAGTCTCTTGAACAAAAGTTTGACTTAGATTATGTGATCTTAACTTTATTTATGTGATAATAAAGTCTTTTTATTGTTGGGTCCTCAATTTTTTAAATAGTGGAAGCATGATTTTATTTTTTTCTTAATTATGAAATACTAAAGTTTGTAGAAAAAAGGTATAAGATCTTTTTTTTAAAAAAAAAATCATAAGAGAAGAAAGGCTGTCTTCATTTTAATAGTAGAATTAGTTTAAACCAGAATTAAATTACTTAAATATTTATTTTAATATATAAATTTTCAGATTCAAGACAATGTATAAAACTACCTATTAATAATTATCTTTAAATTAGTAATTTTATTAAGTCGCTCTCATATGAATTGGTTAAACTAAACGTCATCAAAAGATTTCCTTCTATGATCCTTATATTTTTAAACAAGTATTTTTTTCATCATTTACAATATCCAATGGATTTTTTGAAAAAATAAAACAGAGTACCTTTATGTTGTGTGAATCAAAAAATAGTTGTGAGAAACTGTAAAATGAAAATGACTAATTATTACTCATTAATATGGGCATTTAGTTTCATAAAATGTACTCCCTCCGTCCACTATTGTTTGTCAGGTATGCTAAAAATAGTTATTCAAAACTAATTGTCAATTTAAACAATCAAGAAATAATTAGTCACTTTTTTCCAATTATGCCCTTAATAATTAAGTATCTTTTTTTCTTTTAAGATCATACATTTATTCTTAGTTTGACCTTAATTTAATTCGAAAAGTATAAATTCTCCGAATATATTAAAACTACGTAATGGTTCAAATCTTTGAATATTTAAATTGGCTTAACGAATCTATGTCGTAGATATCAATTTTGAAGTTTAATTATGGTTATGTAATGCCTTGATTTTAACCATCCTTCGTATGCGTATAGGACAGAATCTAATGATTTCTAAGTTATACAATTATGTTAAGGTCTTTTACTAAGTGTAGTAAGTGTACCGCATGTGGTTTAGGGTCGTAAGGTACCTCAAACACCAAGTCAAGTTCAAAGCATTTCTATCAACTATGTTTTCACATTAGTTCATGCAAAAGGGTCAACTTCAAACAATTATATCTCTCAACATACAATGAATTACGTGTCTCATGACCTATCAAATTAAAGGCCTATGAGCTAGAGTCTTCTTTCCAACGCTATCAAGTTTGCATCGTTTTGAGTTTGGACCGTTTTACCATGATTAATTCCATTGAAGTAATTAATTTGTTGCTTTATTTGTTTTCTATCTTGTTACATTTTTCTTACATTAGTAACATTCTTTTTGAACTAATAGTCTTTCGAAAACATTTCTACCCCAGAAAGATAAAAATAAGATTTGTGTATATTCTAAATTCAATCAAAAATAACTGTTGTCATCATATAAATCAGCACAACCTTTTAAAGAAGTACAATTAAATTTAAAAAATAAATCACATTAGTCAATAACAATGTTTGTTTTATTTTTCATTTCACATCCTTCAAAAGAAATATTAATTAAGAAGGAAATTTGACTATTCTACCCTTATTTATGTCTTAAGGTATAATCTATTTTTTGAATATTTAGTCTATTTTTGTGTCATAATTAAAGTGCTTATAGCCTCCAAAAACAATCTAAGTTTAAACTTCTTATTTACTTTTAATTAATAAGATGATTCATAATTACACAAATATCTAAATTTTATTTTTGAACATAACTTTTAAAAATATTAATTTCATTTTTAAACTTATACCAGTCAAACACTTCATAAATTGAAATATATCATAAATCTTTTTTGGCACAAGAGGACACGAGAACCATAAATTGCTATAATATCTTATTACCATTTCATTTATTTATTTTTCTTCTCATCTCCTATATAAATTGGTATAATATCCCTCATTTTCTCCAATAAAACATAACAAAAAATGTCAGGATACATGGTCAAAATGGATTGATTATATTTCCTGTTACGTGTTTGATTCAAAAATGTTCACCTGATATTGCTAATTTTTTACTAGTATCTTGAACAAAATCTTTAACTTAGCTTATGTGATCTTAACTTTAATTATGTGATAATAATGCCTTTTCATTATTCGGGGTCTCAATTTATTTTTTTTAATATTGGATGTGTAATTGCATTTTTGCTTTATTATAAAATAGTAAAGTTTGTAGAAAAAAGTATAAAATCTTTATTTCTGAAAAAAATAAGAAAGCAAACCTGAATTAAATTACTTTATATTGTGTGATGAGGGGCAGAGTAGTTACGTAGGGCGAAATGTTCATATGTACCCTCTTAGTAAAAAAAATTACAATATGTATACATGGTTAAAATATATTGAATCTTCTTTAGCTTCCTCGAATGTTTACTTCTTCATAATTTAAATTTCTTGGTGAAAATCCTGATGCCATCATTGTGTGTGGCTAAGTATTTTGTGAAAAACGTATTCATTCTCTAAACAATTTTTTTTTAAAAAAAAAGGTTGGGCGTAGCTTAAAGAAGTAAAACCTCAATCATAGAAAGCCAATGTGCACTAGCCTAGCTATAACTAACGTTTTTCAGCTTGTTATTATGTGAACATTGTTTGTATATTTTCTTATGTAAAAGATTTATTTTTTTCGTATGAGCTTCGTTTACTTGACCGAGGAATGTAAATAGGTATTGAATATCTTAATGTATAAACATATTTCCTCGAAAATATTCCTTTCAGGCGGTGACCGTTTACTCTATAAGAAATTTAAACATAATTATAGCTGTATGAAAATGCATCAATGGAGACTTGTAGTCAAAGGCAATGATGGAATTTTTCTGGTAGTGGAAGAGAAAGAAAGTTGCATTCTGTTTAAAAAAAAGTCTTAAATGTAATTTCTACTTTTCTTTTTAAGAATAATTTTTTTCCTCATTGCCTCCTCTCTACTTCACCCCTTTTTACACTTTACCTATGTATATATAAAGGAATCAGTAATAGTCCCTTTTGATTTCTTGAGATCTTTTCATTTTTCTTGTTTCTTGTTAGAATTATTGTGTATTGGACGCGGATTAAGATGGAAGGTTAGTAGGTATTAGAATGTTGTTTCGCTTATCTTTCCATACTGGTAGTCGTAGTGTTTCTCTTGTAGTTTCTTGCCCTTAGATTTTTCATTCCCCCCTTTTTACATAATGCTTTGTCTTTTCATTTATGTTATTTCCTTTTCTGACCTGCTTTGATGTGTTTTTTCTTGAGTCGAGAATTAAACATGTCTACCTCCCAAGGTAGGGTAAGGTCTGCGTATACTCTATCCTTCCCAGACCCTACTTTGTGGGATTATATTACACAGGGTATGTTGTTGTTGTTGTATATTTTGTGTAATTTTGCTAATGTGGCCTATTTTTGAAACATGGAATGGGATAGAATGGAGAAATTGATACAGAATAGTATGTTTTGATGTTGATGCTTTTAGGATAATTTCGAGAGAATGAGATCTCTTGCTCACTTACGATTTGAATATAGAAGAACATGACCTTCTTTTCAGATCTTCTAAAGTATAAAAATGAAGATCCCTTGTAGAAAATAGGCCTCGCGTCTAACTCAATCACAAAAGTTAGCTCATTAGGCAAGGAGTATCCAAAACCACAATGTCTGTCATGTTTTGTACTAACAGCAACATATCTATTGTTAACTTGATGTCTTTATTTGTTTTTAAGGCTCAGCTCAGCCATGTCTGGTACTCAAGTTATTATCCAACAAGGTTGGAAGCTTACTGTGTTTTTGGAATGCACCGAAAAAGTACAGGAGATTGGATACTAAACTTGAAACTAAAATGGTGGAGCTTAAGAGAAGTTCATCAGGGCAAAGCAAATTCAGGTCAATCAATAGCATAATCTTGAAATTTCCTCATTTTAAAGAGGGGTTGAAGGAGATTAAAGGCGTCTTTGAACAGTTCGGTTAGTAGCTTCTGTATATGCTGAGATTTGAGTTTTTCGTTACATTTTTACTGTCAATGGATTTATGTGTTTTCTGTGTTTGGTTCTTTTTCCTAAGATGAAGATTCGAATGGGACTATTGACCGGGATGAACTAAAGAAATGTGTAAAGAAGCTGCATTTTCATGTTAAAGATGAGGAAGTTAATGATCTTTTCGACTCCTGTGATGTGGATGAAAAGGAAGGGATTCAATTCAATGAGTTCATTGTTCTTCTGTGTCTTCTTTATCTATTAATAGATTCATCGTCCTCCTCTGAAAATGTACGTGAATACTGTCCTCTTTGTTGTTCTTCTCTCGTGTACTTTTACTATAAGTAGTCATAGTATTGCTCCTGTAGTTTCTTGGTTTGCTGTAGTTTTAGTTCTGTTACTATCTATTGTTTTTGTTAACTGTTGTTTCTTGGATTTCCATTACTTCTTTCACTGGATTGCTTTGGGCTGTTGAAAGGTCTATCGGAAACAGCCTCTCTACCTTTAAGGTAGGGGTAAGGTCTGTGTACACTCTACCCTCCCCAGACTGTCGTTGTTGTTGAAGATGTGAAGTTATATATTCATTAGGATCACGTTTATTTCAGACCTCGAAGATCGGTTCACCAGAGCTAGAAGCAACATTCAACACAATAGTTGAGGCATTCTTGTTTCTTGACAAAAATGGTGACGGGAAACTGCACAAGAAAGATGTCCTCAAGGCATTAAACGATGAATGTCCTTGCGAGAAATCCCCTTCTCATGTCACTCGTACTCGATTTAGTACTGTCCTTTCACATTGTCTTAAAATCAAACTAACTAGCTGTGATAACTTCTAACATGACGATGATCTGGTTGAAAATTGCAGGAGAAATGGACTGGAACAGGAGTGGCAAGGTCAGTTTCAGGCAGTTTCTTTTCGCGTTTCTTGATTGGGTTGGTATAGACACAGACGATGAGAATCACACGACTAAAAGGGAGACTAAGTGCAGCAACAACACCTCAACCAAACTAGTGGATTCGGCTGTATGAATCCTCACTAACCATGTCACTCCGTTAAATGAAGTAAGGTCAGACTAGTATTTGTACATATAAAGTAGCTCTCTGCTCTGTATAAACTTTCATATTTAAGGTATATTCTGCTATTGTATCGAAAAAAACTCATCAATTTCATAAAAATCTGCATATCTGATGCTTCCATTACCACGATGCTATCAAAGCCGTCCACACTAAATTACACAAATGTTCTGCTGAAGCAACATAGTCATACCATGAACAAATGAAGAACAAAGACATAAAGATATAAAGCTTGATGTTCATTTCTATCTACATGTAACTACTTCACATCTTACGCGATGATCATTGTATACCAAGAGCTTGAATTCTCCTTACGAGGGACAAAGCAGAAGCATTTCTTGTTCTCCATTCTTCCGGGCTCTCCTTCTTTTGTCCATTTTCCATTAACCATTGATCATGTCCATCGAGAATGTTCACTATCTGCCTCATGCTCGGTCTTGATTCAGGATCGTACCTAGTGCAAGCCATTCCTAATTTGACTAGCCTGATCAGTTCCCTGGTGTTGAAGTTTCCATTCAACCTCCAATCTGCAAGTTGTTCGTATGGCCTTTTCTGCACCACGAATTCATGAACTCGGTTAACCAACAAAGCCTCAGGCCGGCGGAAATCTACTGCCATCTGACCACTAACTATCTCAAGCAGAACTACACCAAAGCTATAAACATCAGCCATTGTTGTTGCATCACCAGAATCCATATGCTCTGGCGACATGTAACCGAAAATCCCTCTAACTGATTTGTTTTTATCAACCACAACATGATGGCTATGCTCATTTCGAGTCAAGAATTCAGCAAGAGCAAAGCAACCAAGCCTTGGGTTCATATCTGGATCAAGAATGATGGCAGATGATGTGATACATCTGTGTATCACCTGTTCATCCCATTCCTCATGTAGATAGCGAACCGCAGAGGCAAGTGATTTGACAATGTTATACCGATGACGCCATCTTAGGGTACTGGATGCATTGTCCCTATGATGATTCTGATGGAAAAGGAGGTGGCTTAAAAGGCTACTCTGAGAGTAATCATAAATGACAAGCATTTCACCTTGCTCGGTGCACCATCCACGGAGTTGCACCAGGTTTCTGTGGCGTAATCGTCCTAAGTTCTGAAGTTCATTAGAGAACCTCACTCTTAAAGCAGGACAAGTTTTCATTCCCAGCCTTTTCACTAAGACATGCTGGTTGTTTTCAAGAAAACCATGATAAGCAGTACCAAAGTCAATCTCAGCAACTCTTCTTGAATCGGAAAAATTGTCCGTGGCAGCAATGATCTCCTTGAATGTGATCTCCCTAGCAGTTTCAACCATCAGGAAATTACTCGATTGGCGCCTGCTGCTGCAATTTCCAGACTCATTATTGCTGCTGGTGCTTCCACTTTCAGCACTTAGATACATGGTATCTCCTGTAGCTGTGATGAACATTGTTGAGTTGAAACCGGGCGTCGTGCTCGTGCTGGTTGTGGCAGTGGACCTTGAGGTGATTGTGTTGCTAGTTGTACTATTGCTTGGTGATGACAAAGATATATAAAGAGGATGGGACTTAAAACAAGGAAGATCAGGCAATTTACCATAAATATGACCAGAAAGTGCTTCCACAACCCATTTCATATTAGGCCTTGATTGAGGTTCATGAAGTGTACAAAGAAGGCCAATATGTATTAGCCTCTCCATATCATTAAGTTTGTAAGAACCATCAACAAGTCTGCTGTCACCAGCTTGTAAAGCCACTTTTTCATCAGAAAGTCTCCTGATCCAATCAAGTAGTATGATCTGATCATCCGGGGACGCGAGATCAACAGCGCGCCTTCCTGAAACAATCTCCAGTACAACAATCCCAAAGCTAAACACATCAGATTTTGCAGTGGCAGAACCTTTTTTCTGAAAACTTTCAGGAGGTAAGTACCCTATAGTTCCACCAATTCTTGTTGTCTCAGCCAATCTAAACTGCTGATTCTTCATAGAAGGCGTCCTCGGTTGGTACTCGAGTTCATGTTCCAACCACCTAGCTAAACCAAAATCGCCTAGTCGGGCGTTGAAATGGGAATCAAGCATCACATTGCTTGTCTTAACATCTCTATGAATGATCTGAGTCTCCAATTGTTCATGGAGATAAAACAAGGCAGCAGACAAGCCATTAACTATATTTTTTCGACGTTCCCAATCAAGAACAGGGGACCCTGTATTCTCCTGTTTTCGGAACAAAATCCGATCAAGGCTACTGTTAGGCATATAATCATACACAAGGAACAACTGATCATCATGAAAACACCACCCCCTTAGCCTCACAAGATTCCGATGGCGGAGATGAGCAACTGCCACCAACTCAGCAGCAAATGTTTTCTCAAATTTCTCCCCTTTCTCAGCTAAACATTTCACAGCTACAACTGTTCCATCACTAGGTAAAACAGCTCTAAAAACTTTCCCAAATCCACCACTTCCTAAAACTTCATCCTCACTAAATCCATTAGACCCTATAAACAGCTCAGAATAGCTAAATATCCTTGGATTATGATGATGATTATAATCACCACCACCTTTCTCACCTAGCTGCATACCTTCAGTGTCATGAAAAACACCAGAAAATTGTTTTTCCCCAAATTCTTGATGACAACAAGTTACCCATTTGGAATCAAGTAATTTAGAAAAAGATTCATGAATAAAATCAAGAACTTGACCCCCACAACCCCTTTTGGTTAAAGACTCATTTTTTTTCTTTGGAACTTGTTTTTCACCATCAAGAACTTGTCCCCCATAACCCCTTTTGGAAAAAGACTCATTTTTTCCCTTTGAAACTTGTTTCTCACAATCAATAACTTCACCCCCACTGCCCCTTTTGGAAAAAGACTCATTTTTTACCTTTGAAACTTGTTTTTCACAATCAAGAACTTCACCCCCACTACCCCTTTTGAAAAAAGACTCTTTTTTTCCCTTTGAAACTTGTTTTTCACCATCAAAAACTTGACCCCCACACCCCCTTTTGGATAAAGATTCAATCTTTTTCTTTGGATTGTGTGATTCTACTTCTTCTTTTTCATGATCAATCTCATCAAAATCATCAGCAGGCAAAACAAAACACAAACGTTTGAGCTCCATGGTTATGGTTTCATGAATGGGATAAAGAATACTCACATTTAGTTGGGGAAGTGAGAGGGTAGTTGTTGTAATGATCAAGAATTCAATGCAAAAAAAGGGGTTTATATGGTTTTATTCAAACAAAATTAGGTTGCAAGGTTTGAAATGTGATACACATGAACTGGCCAACAACAAAAATCCCAAATAAATCCACCCATTTTTTTGTCTTTTTGTGTATAAAATGACAAATTTTGTTTTCTGGAAGGATGTTACACATTCAATTTCGTCAGCATATGTTCACACTTTTGGTTTTGATGATAGATTCTTTCACATTTAAACCGCGTTTACACGATTTTGAGAGTTTAACTATTATATATTGATTGACGTTATAAAGTTTGATGTATATCTAGTGATGATAGTCGATATACCAATAATGAGTAGCAAGATTAACTTATGTACCAAAATAATATAAAAATGAGTGTAAATAATGAGTATAACAAGGATCGAGTTTAATTTTTATGTATCGATATTATATAGTTTGACATTTATGTCGTGACGATATATTTATATATATAATATGAGGGTAAATAAAAGTAAGTTTAATAAATACTCCTTCCGTCCACTTTTAATTGTTATGGTTTCCTTTTTTAGAGTCAAACGATAAGAATTTTGACTAATATTTTATGATGAGTATTTTTCATCATATTGATATGTAAAAAGTTGCAATTTATAATACTTTTCGTATAGTTTTTGAATATTAATTTTTTTTAATTTAAAATATTGAATTAATGTAATCTAATTTAACTTTGAAAATTAGTCAAATTGACTTTCAAAAAGCGCAACATGACAATTAAAAGTGGACGAAGAAAGTATAAGAAGTAACGAAATTAACTTTTATGCGGTAAACATTTAATGAACTTTGAATATATATATATATTTAGTAGGTTTAATTGGAATTACTACGACAACAATAACATATTAGTGTAGTCTTATGGGGTATGAGCTATAGAATGAACGAAAAAGTTTACCCTTAGATACCTTTATTGGGTAGCTAAGCTATTTCTGATAGACCTTCGACACGTTCTAAGCAAGATTGCTAGACAACCAAATAAAGTAGCAACAGACTGAAATGCAAATTGAAAAATGAGAGATTGTGTAACTATTAATCTTGTTACTTACATCGAATATAAACTTTAAAATATCGAATTTATTTGGTATGGAACTAAAGATAATATCAGTCAAAGAGAAAATCTTTATTTTCTTCTACATGATAAGTTTGTTTGATCGTAATCCATGATAGAAAGTAGCAATATTTATTTGAAAAAATAAAATTCATTTGATTCTCTAGAAAGAAAAAAAGCATATCAAATGTCTAAATTGATGTATTTTTCAGTATTGAAAATAATTAAATAGCTACAAAAAGGCTAAAATTAGATAAATGAAAAGGACAAAAAAAAAATTCATATTATACCCTCAATTAATTACTTTGAAAAAGGTAGAACTTTTTGAAAATATTAAATTTTTAATTCATCCACTTCATAATTAATAGAGGTAAAATGGTAAACTCGCTATGTCAATAATTGTTTTTTTAATAAGTGTGTCAATTTAAAAGTGGACAAGTAATTAGGGACATAGGGAGTATTAATTAGAAGACACTTTTTTTCCTCTTGCAATTTTTTTTTTTTTTTAGAGAAATTAGTATTACAAGTCATTAGTAGAAACTTCATTTTCCATAACAAAAATATGAAAATATTTTAGAACCCAAAGTGGAAGAAAATATGTTGAAAAAACAAAAACCATAAAGGGTACACGGCTTCTTTGAAATACGTGGTATTAAAAGTTGACTCCTTGACTTCTTCAATATTAATGGTCTAATATAAGATAAATATTACTTGAATGATTTGTATGATACTTTCTTTTGTCAAATATTTGTTATTATTCATTAATCAAGAATGTATCGTGATGCATGTTATCCTCAAATAATACATATTGATTGACGAGACGCGTGAAAGAGCCACAAGAATGCTAAAATAACTCCTCCAACTGTTATGCTATCGCCTTCAAGAATGTACTATTAAACTAATA